CTCTTTAGGGCACTTGCTAAGAACATGGCGGACTGAAAAAATCCCTTACGCACTTTTAATAAGAAGATACACTTCTGTATGTCTTTATTCTGTGATGCGGTACAGTCCGTATGTACGTAAACAAAGACTTTGTTTACATTTCGATATGCAAAATATTGAATTTTATTCGACAACTATTTATATTTTCATGATTCTAGAGTATAATAAATTATCAAGAGGCAACAATCAAGCTTTGCAAGAACATAAAATGAAATAAAAACCTAAATAAACTGTTTGTAAATAAAAAGAGGGCTCCTTCACTAATTTGCCAAGTCATCTCCACTGCAAATTAATTTTTTTTCTGCTAGTTAATATTTAATTTTCCCCAAAATGAATTGATTTTTGTTCCTACTGATATATACACAATATCAATTTAACAACAAATTGTGATGGATAAGTTGATTGTAATTGCCTGTGCAAGAACCAACTAAACTATGAAAAGAAAGAAATTATTGGGGGAGGGGTCGGCCTCCAACGCCCCTGACGTCATTACTACTTGTATAAAATTTAGAAAGATTTAAAGTTGACGTATGAAAAGAAATAGAATTCTCGTGGGTGAAGAAATTATTGGGGGGAGGGGTCGGCCTCCGACGCCAATGACGTCATTACTACTTGTATAAAATTTAGAAAGATTTATAGTTGGCGTGCGAAAAACGTTTAACTGCAGGAAACGCCGCTTTAAAACATCAGTTTAAGCCTAACCATTTCCGAATTCAATCGCTAATCCTTACACTGAGAAATTCGCCCAAGAAAACATTGTCGTTGCTATGACTTCTAGAAAACTTCACCTTGAAAGGACTGAAGAAATAATATATTGCCCTTGACTAATCGGGACACAATATTATCGACATCATTGTAAACAATATTGCCTTGAAACATCCATCGAAGGTCACACAACATTTTCAGTTTGCATTGAGCCAAAAGTTTGCATTTGCACGGTTTTGAAGCTGTCGGAACGCCAAGTGATATTCTGCGCTAACTTTTCCCGGCTGTCCTGGTTCAAGATGGCGGTCTTCAGTTGCCATACGAGTTAAAGTTAGATTTTGAGATTATTATAAAATAAATGAACCCCAAACCTAACCCTAACCTAGTAAGTCAAAATTAGTAGGAATGAAAAGTTTGAACATTTTTTGAGAAAAACAAAGATTTGTCGATATTCGAACCCACGACGTATGAAGTCGTTGCCCTAGGCGCACGCCAGAACCACTTCAACCTCGATAGCACTGTTTGAAACTAGATTTTTTTACATATTTTAGAAATTAACCGACTACATTTACAGTTTCTATATACCATGACGGCCTTCTAGTTTCGAAAGCTTGAGGTCGGGCTAATTGTGTAAATTTCACGGGATGAATGTATAATTATGTCTGATGCAACCTTCCGGAATCCGGACATACTTTGCAATGAATTCAAACAGAGTCGGTAACTACAGTGTGGGCACAGTTCGACAGCTTAAAATAACAAACATACGTTAATCGTAATGTTTTTATGGCTTTGTTTACGAGCGTTGCATAATGTTTTATATTAATGGTTTACCTTTCCGATGCTTTTCGAAGAAGTCAGGTAGTTTTAGTGTGGATTGTTAATACTAGAAATCAACAAATCCAAACTCACACCAATAACAACCTCGTTGTAGTAATCTTGATCTTCAGTGTATATGTCGTCCCAATATAATAACAAAACTTTGGTTGATAGGGATGCAAGTGACTGAAAAATACCAGGAGAACTTCAATGTTTCGGCCTTCGCTCGAACGTCAAGGTTCTCTTTGTATTTTTCTGGCAGTTACATCCCTATCAACCAAAGTTTTGGAGTATTAATAGACCATTTTAACTACTAAGTCTCAATATAAACTAATACTGGTAATAGTGTATTAATAATCCATGGTTTCAGTTACAGGGACAAGCGGGAATTTTGGAATGGGGAAGTCTCAGTTTTAACATTTACTTGGAAAGCAATTTGGGGGTGGTGAATTTTTAATCAAAATTCCGCTTCATCCGGGAATCCCCGATGAATGCCTCTTCTTTCAAAATAAGCAAATCTCCGTAATTCATGAAGGCTTTCGACAATGTTTCATAGTTTTGGTTTTTGCTATACGTCAAGGTTTATTGCTTATAGTATTATCGGAGTATTTTCATTTGAAGTTTTTCTCAAACCAAAATGACTGCAGAATGAATTATTTTTATCTATACGATTCTACATTTATTAACTGCACAACTTTTGCCTAAAACTGTCGCATGCAAACTGCTTACAACGTCAGCTGTACTGTGGAAATCAAGCACACAACTCACATGAGTACAACTCAAGTTGTAAGCAAGTTACATGCGACAGTTTTAGGCAAAAGTTGTGTAGTGTAAATCGGTCTTCACACTTCAAAATTGAAAAGGGAAAAGAAAAATCATGATCAGATGGGTATTGCGCGTTTCAAAAGATCACATTATTCCAGTCATGCATACTAGTTTATCGAGTGGTCCATCCGTGTTCATATCTATATAAATCGGTTTTACGCAATATATCCTAAATTGCTTTGCTAAGCAAACTGATGCAACCTGAAAATTTCCCGTCTTTAAATTCCAGCCAATTTGTCATGACCTATTTTGCTTTTGATTATATAATCTCGGGAATGCGTGATATGTCGAAAGTATGATAAATGCTTGCTGAAGTATACCTTTGTTCTCGCGTATTTGCGAACATTGTTGCCCTCTTGAACTCTCTTATTTATGTAAATTGCTGCATGCAATGTTGACAAATTACGCCGTGTACATTATTTGAACAAGTGGGCACAACGAAAGGATATATTGAACAAAGGCTTTCAGTTTATTTCCCTGTCCTTACACACGTGTTAAATACCACAATGACACCTTTATGACGTCATTGTTGCAATAGCAACATGGCTGTATATATGAGAGTGTCAGACGTGGGCCGTGAGACAATCACGCAAGCTCTCACTGTATCCATGCAAGATATCTAATCACCAGGAGTTCAATTAAAGTTACAACACGTTCGGAAACTATGACTAAACATCAGCTAGATACGAATTGTTCTGCGATTAAAAGTATTGCCGTCATGGGAGCTGCAAAGACGGGAAAAACTAACCTTATTTCAAGGTTTTTGGGACAGTCTTTTGAAGAACGACACAATCCAACTGTAGAAGACTATCACATTGGGAAATTCTATCTGGGAGAAACGTTATGTCATATGGAAATAACCGATACCTCTGGTAGCTTTGAATTCCCAGCCATGGAACGGCTTACTATGGAGAAATCAGACGCTTTTATTTTCGTTTATTCGTTAGAAGACGAAAAGAGTTTTGAACATGTTAAGATGTCTTTGAAGAAACTTAAAGAAGTGAAGGATATTAGTAAGGTTCCGATAATTGTGGTGTGTAATAAAGCTGATTTAGCGAATATTGTTTCACTACGAAATATGCAAATGCGTTTGGACAATGATGACGTCCCTATACAGTGCTCGCTATATCGCGAAAGTCGTGGAGAAAGTAGCGTGTCGAAAGAGCATGCTATCTGCGCGCAATTGGAACAGGTTCGCGCGCTGGGTTGCGAGTTCTTGCTGACGTCTGCCAAGTTTCGATGGAATGTGAACCGCATTTTTCAACAGTTATTCAGAGAACGCAAAACAAACACGGAGAAAAGCTCGCCAAAAACGACATTCCTATTTAAAATCAAACGAAGAAAAGATGCTTCCCGTGCGAAGACTATTTAAAGGAATATAGATTGAAGTATTGGTGGCCTGGTTCTGCATGGTCAACTTCGGAAATGTCGAAAGCTGGTTTACATTAGTCATTCTCCGCAACGTTTCTGTGATCACATGAGTAGGAATTATACATGGGTAAATTCTAAGTTTTAAAGATTTATAAGAAATATTTGAGGGAACTGATTCGGTGTTTAACACCAAGTCAATTCCCTCAAACATTTTTTACAAATTCTTCAAAACTTAGAATTTACCCAAAATTCCTACTGTGATCGCAGTAATTAAAAAATTTATTTGCAAATACAAGATTACTAGGACTATATAGGTGCATATAATGAAACGAATTAGCATATTTTCCCACTCTGATAACTGCAGGTTGACCTCCATCTTCTGCGTGTAAGGTAGGGCCAGTAATAACAGAACGTTGCCGTTGTTTTTTTTATTGATTGAAGCACTTATTTAATCACGATTGAAAGATACAGCTAAAGCTGACAGGGTCGATGGCCTATCAACCGAATCTTAGTGAAATTCATCTATTAATTAGTAATTACGAAATGGGCTTTGGGCTTCCTGAATCATGATGCAGCGAGTTAGTTGCGTAATGTCAGTTGTCTCTGTGATTTATATCGTAAATGCACACGTCAGTAAGGCTTCACTGGAAAGTACACTTGAGTTCTGTCGGATGTAAGATCTGGTCGCTCGAGTTCATTGAGAACCATTTATTATGAGTCTTGTCAGCATATATGTGTAAATTTCCCAAGCTCAAGTGTAATGCATATAATTAGATATAAAATGATTTTAGATTTTACACAGAATACAAAGAATCTATGTTAACATATAAAAAATTCACAGACAGCCGGACTGTCTATGTGTCAAAAGCTCTGTTTTTGAAATAGAATATTTAATGTATTTTAATTAATATATATTTGTGCTTGACATGTATTTATATATGATGTAATTTATAGTTATAGTTGAAATAAATTAAATGATAGTTGAATAAAATAAAATAAATATCTTCCATGATTGTAGAATCTCATTCGTAGTGTTACTTTGTCCAATGTGCGCATGCTCAATTTTCCTCGAATTAAAACTGTGTTAATAAACTTATAAAAAAGCATGGTGGAAAAGCAATTGATCGTTGGAAATATAGTTCACTCTCTGTCGATGTGGTTGGCAGTCACGTGATCTTGGTTAGCTGTTCTTATAATGCTTTCCCAACACTATAGTGTATTTTATTTTACAGGTATTTTATTTCCAAGTTAAAACATAGTTGAAACAGTCTTCAAACCTTCATTTTGTTAATCTAGAGCTTCACATTTTCCCTGTAACAATACGGGACTGTCAAATCTCATTCTCGTCTGACCGTGGCCGTTCAGGGTTAAGAGAACGGCCTCTTCTCCGCTGTACTATAGTAAAGGATGATTTAAAATAATCATCTTCATTTTTACCATATGCAGTGCTTATCTCAGATCTATTTTATTTCGCATTCATAGCCGTTGATTAATTGTTTAAATTTTCAGACAATAAGGGACGTTTTTTACAAATATGTTTTTTTTTCAATTAAAATACTTTAGTTTACGTTTATGAGTAGGCGGAAAGCATCCGGCAGTAGATAATTATTTCATCCTCAGAGATATGAAAAAGTAGTTTCATATTTATAATAGTTTTGTTTGTGGAAACACCACGTAAATTGCAGTAATAAATTTACGTGGTGTTTCCACAAACAAAACTATTATATGTTTTATCGCCATGCAAACATACAAAGAACTTATTAGTTTCATATTGCTCTGACACTGCAGAATACAACGAAAAATTTATTGTTTCGAGCTGGATTCGCATCTTTGGGTTTTTAGACTCGTGAGTCTAAAAACCCAAAGATGCGAATCCAGCTCGAAACAATAAATTTTTCGTTGTATTCTGCAGTGTCAGAGCAATATAGGCCACGGTCAATCGTTGAACTTTTCATGTGCCGAACTAATGCAAATGAAGCGAAACAAAGAACTTAGCCATTAACATTAGGTTCGGCACATGAAAAGTTCCGCGACGTTTGACCCTGGCCTCAGCCGCTCTACCCTTTAGCGAACTTGAGATGAGCTATAAATCTAGTATTATTATTACTTTTTTGTAAGCAAAAAGTTAAATTACAGAAGTTCGTAACAACATAAAACTATGGCTAAGAATTGTTATACTATATATATCTAACTATATTACATATAAGAATAAATTGTGATAGCTAAATACTAAAATAACTATAGGTTATATAGAGATTATATCCTACTATTCTCTAAACATCATTTGAGGTAAAAAGGAATATTTAAAGCGGTCCGTTTTGCAGACATAATTAATAAATTTACGTGGTAATCTTAAGTCATAATATGATGTATATGGATCTGGAAACAAGTCCTTTATTTTATCATTATTTATATTTTGTCTATAATAATAGTACGCGGACGTGACAAAAAGACAGTTACTTTTGCTTTTCTTTTGGATTTGTTACCATACAGTTTAAATTTGTTTTTTTCACCTGTGTCCTTCTTTGTTGACAAAAAGAATCCCCATTTGTTACCCGTGTTGCTGATACTACGAATTTAGGTTTTTTGTCAAGTCCGCGTCCTACATGCACTTCTTGAGCTCTTTAATTATTGAGCTATTGAGTCAACGGGGATTGGTAGCGAGTCTTATCCAATTTAAAACTATTTTCACAGCAACATCTATGAAACTAGTGTTTTATATCTCTGAGGATGGTTCTGAAATAGAAAACGAGACTTATTGTTATAATTTGAATGCTATATAAGCACTACGCTGAACACAATTGAATTTTTAATTACTAGGAGCAAAATATATTGCGCTTAACAACAATAGATTAATATCTAAAGGTCTCGTTTTTTACGATGTATAATGAGTGGCATTCACAAAGGTGCGAGAATGTTCTTCGAATTCGAGCAACGAATTTTTCGTTACTCTTGCAGGTAAACTACTGAAGCATTCCCGAGTTTCTATCTCGTTTGGAATTTTCCAAATTTCCTTTGCAAATTTGAAAAACTCTGAGAATCCCTTGAGGGAATTTGCAATATTCCTGAGCCAAGTTCCTGTTCAAAGTTCCTAACTTCCTGTCAGTGTTTTGCATGCTAACGGCTTGGGATTTTATCACAAGATCTTGGGATTTTTTAAAGTGGTTGGGATTTTTTGGGGATTATTTTTTCAGAAATAAGACCCTTGGATTCTTCTTGGGATATTGCAAATCGAAGAACTGAAAAAAAAAGCTTTTTTAGCAGAGAAATTAAAAATAAAAAAAATTAGGTCTTTATCATGCAAATATATAGATCGGATCCAGATATTTGTGGATGCATTTTTGGTTTTTCAAAAAGTAATAATTGTCCAAAAATACGGACCCAAGACGCGTGAATTTCCCATTTTATAAAGAACTGTATTGAGCCACTCTATTACAGTGTCAGGATACATGCGAAACTATAGTTTCTAATATATGATTATATATTAAGAATGAGAATAAGAATGAGAATACGCATTACTGTCTCCGTGACAATGAAACAACACTCGTTTTGCCACAGCCCCGCACAAATAGCATGAAAAAGAGTTTTATGTTTAATGGGGCAAAAATATGGAACTCAGTGCCTAAAGAAATCAGAGGAATTAGGTCCCAGTCTCTATTTGAAAGAAAAATTGCTGCTCATGTTTCTAAATAATATATTTATGCATACATATATATATATCCTTTATTGTAAATAGTTATCTATATGTTTTGTTAGTTGTTTATATTGTCAATTTTGTCAATTGGAACAGTTAGATTATTTCTATTTTCTTTTATTTGATTCCATAAGAGTCATAACAACACTTATATATAATAACTTTTGAACACACGCCCTTCGTGGAAATCAATGTTTTTAATTGACGTAGTTAGCGTGTCAAAATAAAATCTATCTATCTATCTATCTATATGTGCAGTTAATGTATAGAACATAATTATATCAAGCATTTGCGGATGACAGAACCCCGTGCACTTTTGCGTTAAAATTTCATTAACGAGTATTGATAGAATTGTCGCTAATATAAAACCACAGTTCTATAATGAAACAATAATAAAAAATAATAATAGTAAATATATATTTTTGCCCTTTTTTTGAACATTACAAACAACAATTAATTATTCTAAGTTACCGAGTAACAATAAAAAGTTGTTTAAAATGTTTTTATTCAATTCGAAATTTGAACTAGCAACCAAATACGAGTTTCGGGTTCATATTGATCACTAGCTGCATAAGCAGCCCAGATATATGTATATGTCTAGCTGTTAAAATAAAAAACCGTTGCGTGACCCCACTTGTAGTTATAATTTAGTCATTCTGTGAGTACGCAAAAATTTCTACTCATCCTGTAATTTTCATCATCTATACTCATCCGCAGAGAAGTTTTTGCTTTTAAAAATAGCAAAGCGACTATTAACATTGCGCTACAACACAGGATGAACTATAGCCTAAAATGTCCCCACATGCATGATTAGATATGCGTTGATGCAAAAGCACTTGCGGACCACATAGTCCCTTGCACGATTCCATTGAAAATGAACGAAAGCTCGTCTCGTACCCAGGGTCTTACCAAGCTCGGATTGATAGAGATGCAACTACCTAAAAAATACAAGGAGAACTTCGACGTTTCAAACGCGAAGGCTCTTTGTCGGGAAGTTATAACTATAGATATCTTATATACACTAGATAATGCATCTAATTATTCTGCAATTCAAAACAGTCGAAGCCGTGATTGCAGACTCATGATATTCCCATGAAATGAGAAGACTCGTATGTTTTCTATTTCTTAAACAGGGAACTTAAACATTAAGTTAAACCTATTCCAAATACATTTTCAAACTATTCAAATGATGAAAGTTATTGTGTTTTTTAAGCGTTTATTAGCGAGTGGCAAACTTCAACATGGCCGCCATCTGTTCAAATCAGGGGGTAACCGCTGGAATATTCTTGGCTTCAATTTTACTAAAAGAGATGCGCTATCTAGTGTATATAAGATATCTATGGTTATAACGCTTGTCATTGGCACTTAATCTTATACTTCCAATGAACGAGTATATTAAACTAATTTTAATAGGAAACAAAATTTATCAGAGTAGAAGACAGTTGAGATTGAAAAGAGATGAAGTTTTTTATAGACTTAACAGAGGCGTTGAAAACTTTGAGAATTATTCATGGAATACTTTCAAGTTTTGTAATTTTTTCCTGTTATAATTAAAATACTTTACGAATTACGTATATAGGCCATTTAGTGAGTGGACTTCTTATTCATCCTGTTTTTCACCCATGCACCTGTCTTCCGTAGAGGAATTCTTTTTTTCTTTTATAAAGACTATTATAAACATTGCTTTACAAGATAATTTAGTTATATATAGCCTAAAAAACTTCCTCATTATTGCACGAAAAGGTTGTGTTTCATATGAAAAGAGTATTTCATACGCATTTTCTGGGATAAAACTGTCGCTGAAATCAAGCATTGCAAATAATTTTAAAGAAATATGAAATCAAACACAAACTTGTCTTAAATTTATTGTTTTTATACAATTTCACTACATTCTCATAAATTAGTAATATATATAATCAAATTTGGTTGTTACTTGGTTAAATATTTGAATTTACTGAACCGTTACAGTATATTTATGAAACTCTATTTCTCATTTATCAAACGGCCATGGTAAATATACTTGACTGAATGTTACCGCGGCTGTCTTTCCCGAGTTCAGCGTTTTTGATACGTGAACATGTGCAGGGAAAAGTTTAAATCCATTTAAATTTTAGTGATGAAGTAACTGCATAAATTCAAGTTTTCTGTATGATTTCATGCGTTGAGATAATTAATAGTAATATGGAATTTAGCTTTCTTTTCTTTTTAAACTTTTCTGTGGAAAGCAGTTTCAACAGTCTAAGGTATTGTTCATATGGTTGGTGTCACTGTCTCAACCCACAGTCAAACAGCACCTTACAATATTAAATCTAACGATCTATTGTTTCGCAGCTAAAGTATTGTCCATAAGAATGCATGGTGTCGCAGTCTCGACCCCAGCGATCTATTGTTTCGCAGCCAAAGTATTGTCTATAGACCATTGCACATGACGTCACAGCGCCGGTGACGATGCATCAGGAGGACAAATTAGCAAT